GGAGACCAGATGAGACAAACACATAATATGTGCCTATATAGTCACAATGATAGGAAATACACTGAAAAATGAACAAAGAACTAAAAATAAGCCTCTTATAAGAAAAGCTACTACTTCTGGGCTAATCTATTAGTAGTTTGTTTTCCTTAATTTGGTAAAGAAGAGCTTCAGAATTAGACTCTAGAGTAAATCTTCTAAAATTATATATATTATGCATGTATACACATATACATACTCTATGCATTGGCTTAAAGAATATAAAAACAGCACAGGAATAGTTTATGCTGTAGTGTTGTGCAGTCTTATTTAGAAATAAGAAAAAAAGTTTTTCCACTTAGCTGTGAGTGGAATCACCCATACTTTTTAGTTTAGTGGAGAAATTAAGTTTTAGTGGAGGTTGATACAGCTTTTTTCTTTCCTTTTTTTTTTTTTTTTTTTTGTAGAAAATCAGGCTTTGGAGTCAGACAAGTCTCGGTTTTCATTTTCAGTGTCCTTATCTCTAATATAGTAATATTAATAGTTATCTCTTCCTGGGTTGTTGAGAGTTTTAAATGAAATAATAAGTTCAGTACTGGCACAGTACCCATAAATGGATATGACAAGGGGAGAGGAGTTTGTTTTCATTAGATTTAACAGAATCATTCTTTCCCCCAGCTCCCCAGAAAGATTCATTTTAATGCTATTATCTTCCTTATCACCCATAAACAGACAGAAAATTGGCATGTTTCAAAAGAGTGTTAAAACTGCAAGAGTGTTGCACAGTATCATTACATTACCATTCATTATCTAACCGGGTTTATTTATGAAGGTTAGACTTAGATAATTTAGACTTACCCCTTTTCCATTTTGTAGAAAGAGAATCAGAAACTTGAAAAGAAGAGCTCTTTCAAACAGAAAGGTAGCTAGACTTTCTCTCAATAGTATATATAATCTCTTCTAATAATCTTTAGCAAAAGTGACTTTTGAGTTCTTTTAAATATTTCCTGTATTGATTCTAATTCAATGCCCATTTCATGTGATGTCTATAGAACTAGAGACTTAGATTACAGTCAGAAAACTGAGTAACAGCAGACACCAGGTTTTCAGCTACTTTTAGGGTTTATTCACATTGACTACATCTCATTCATCTGGATGGATTTAGTGACATCAGTTGATAACTGTAAAGAAAGTAGCCTTTAATCTGACTTTTTCATATTGATATTACATAGGAGCCACATGACTATGTCATGGGTTCATTCACAAGATGTAATAAACATTATTTTCACGTGTAGCATAAAAGCAGTCTTTATTGTTTTTTTAGAAGCATTAAAACACACACACACATATAAAAAACATATATAGATTAAAAAATTATATCAGCGTAAGTTCTATAATTGTTAATAGATGTAATTGTATAACGTCGCTATTCCTTGTTTCTCATTTTCAGTTGAAGCCTGTCATGTGACATTTTTATATATAATAGGAATCCACAGGTTGTTAAAAACATAAGGAAATTAAGATAATTTGAATTCACATTATAAAATAGTTCAGGTCTATTCTGATGAAGCAACTTCACTTAGATCTGAGGCTTTTGGGTCAGCTTTTAAAAGTTTATCTTATTTTTCATTAAAATATGTATGTATAATACTCTATCATGCAAAGAGAAATAGTCAACAGAATTTCTGTGCATATGTGGTTGCTGGTTATTTGAAAGCCATTCTCCCCCTAGGATTATTTGACCAATTTTGTTTTCAGCTTAGATTAGGGAGAATATAGTGTCTCCTTAGGTAAAATACTTACTAGAACCAAAAAGGTCCAGATTAAATTGGTTTTATTTTTATTTTACTGCAGTTTTGTGCAGTTGACCTGATTTTAAAATACAAAGCTGGGAAGGCATATTTTCCATCTACCAAAATGTGAATCTTACTTTCATTTTGAAACAAACACCTCTGCTTTAAGAATATGAATGGCAGTGATAAATACAAAAACACTAACATTTTTTAAATGAATAGCATTTGTTGATCTTTAGGAGAAAACATAAATGTGAAATAACTTTAGAGTTTTCTTCCTCAAAACTTTTAGGAGTTGATTTTATTATCCAAAACAACTTTATTCATACTAAGTGTGACTATCTGAATAATTACCTCACTTTTATAGTTTTTTTTTTTTTAAAGAAAAAGCTCTTCTAACTGCAATTATCCTCAAAGAATTGGATTAAGAAATTTAATAATTTTCTGTCATTAGTCCAACGAGATATTTACTGAATAACCATTATGTTCCCGGCTGTTATCACTACAAGGACTCCAGCAATGAGCAAAGCAAACAAGCCCTTGCTTTTCCAGAGCCCACATTCTAGAGACAGATGCTAAACAAATACACAGATAAGTATATAATAAAATATTGGTTTAAGTGTTGAAAAGCAACATCAGAGTAAGAAGGCAGGGAGTCATTTTAAATTAACATTGAGAAATGTTTCTATTTGAAGCATATAAATTCTTTGGCTTCCCTTTTTAAATTTGCTTTTTACTGTTTGTTGCTGGTGAAATTATTTAAAGTAATTAGGAACTCATCGTAAATATTTGTTACACTACTCTAAAAATCTAACTCCAATTAGTGAATTTAGCATTTATAAATGGAGGTGTCTATAGAGGAATAAAATCTTTGGTTAACCACTACTTTACTTTTAGCAGTAAAGTCTGCAGCTCATGAAATTTGTAATTCTGGAGTGGTTTCAGTTTGCACTATCCCCTGGGGAGCCTGTTGATACAGCACTGAGCTACAGATTATTATTCGGCTGTAGAAGTTTTATGCTTAGGCATTTTCTTACATCTTCCTCTCTCAGTCAGTTGAAATCTTGTATTTTTGCCAAATAAAACAAATCCCATATTAATAAGAAGCTATAAATAAACAGTAGGAGCATGAGTCAGAGCCAGCATCACCCTTATTCCTTGTGTGTACCTCTCTAGTACTCCCCAGTATGTTCCTTTTGCACAAACATGTAGTACTGCGTAACTACTGTTCTACACATGAACTCCAGTTATTTAAGTGAGGCCTGTTTTTTAGAACTAAGTAATACTGTAACTAGTAGAATTCTGGCATGTTATCAGAGTCAAAAGCAGAATGTGAAGCTGTATGCTATTGATGGGAGGAAAAAAGAAATATATTTCCTACCTTTCCTGTATGAAGCCCTAAAGAGTTCAGCCCAGAAGATTCCTGTTAGATTTCCAAAATGGGTTTTTATATCATGTAATCCAACATTTTTTTCAGGGGAAAAAAGAAAAAAGATAAGTTGCTTGTAAGTCCCATCTCTTTTGCTAGTCAGCTTCTGTCTGATAAAATTTTATTCTGTTTTGCTTCATTGTTTATTCATTCAGCAAATGTTCATTGAACACTTACTGTTACCAGGCATTGTGCTACCATAGACTGTATGAAGACAAATAAGCTAAAATCCTTGTTCTCAAGGAATTTATTATTGTAGAGGAAAGTGACTGGTAAATCCAAAATTTCATACTAAGATAGGAACTATAAAAGAGACATCCTGCAGAATACTGAGATTATAAATAAAACTACTATGTTTGAAGCATTTACTGTCCTAGCTGTTTTATAGAAGTTATTTCATTTAATCCTTTTAGCAGCTTTATGAGGTAGATATTATTACACTATTTTATTTGTGCCAAGAGCACTAAATTCATCAAGGAAGGAGGAGGTAGTATCAAATTTTTCAGAAGACAATAGAGTTGGTTATAGAAGGATGAGTAGGTTAGAGAGTGGGAGGAAGATGAGGCAGTGTGGCATTTCAGACAGAGAGGTGAATATGTAAGCACACAGGATGAGTGAGGGAATTGTTGGAATGTAGTCAGTTCTAGGAAATAAAAAATGGCAGGATCCAGATCATGAAGGAATTTGTGGGCCATGCTTAAGGAGTTTGGTTCTTAACCTGTAGAAGACAGAAATATGATCGGACTTGCATTTCAGGAAGGTAACTATGTAATTGTTTGCAATTCCTGTTAAAGGAAGAAATTTTCTCCAGCATTGACTTACGCTTATTGAGTACATATAAAAACTAAATTCTAGAAACATCTTATACAGTTATGTGTCACTTAACAATGGGGATATATTCTAGGAAATGCATTGTCAGGTAATTTCTTCATTGTACAAATGGCATAGAGTATACTTACACAAACCTAGATGTGTATCTTTATTTGTATTTATTTTTTCATATGGAAAACCAAATGTCTTAGCCACATTACTGAATGTCAGTCATTTCCCCTACTTGATCTGCAACACCAACATTAAGTGTGATGTATCAGATTTCTATATATGTTCCATTATAATCTTATGGGACCACCGTAGTTCATGCAGTCCATTGTTGACAGACCCATCATTACGTGGTGCATAAGGGTACTTACAGTTTTACAACTATAAAATGAAGCACAGAGAGGTTACATAACTTAGCCAGTGTCACACACAGCTAATAAGTAGCAAAGTTAGGATTCCACATGTTAGGCCAACTTCATGGACCTAACCACAGTCCTGTATTGCCACTCCTCTTCATTTAAAGGCATGCATGCACAAATTAGGTTTGGAGACAGTTCTAGAGACACTAAATTGGCAACTACAGTCGACAAAGAGACATTGCAGCAAGTACCTCTGCATTGTTTGTTTCTGTGCCCTTAAGTTGCAGCAGTCTAGGAGAAAGAATGAAAGAATGAAGGAAGGGAAGTGATACATTTGTCAACCTGACTGCGTTGTAAAATGAAGCTTTTTTTTTTTTTTTTTGAGAGGGAGTCTCGCTCTGTCAGCCATACTGGAGTGCAGTGGTGTGATCTCAGCTCACTGCAACCTCTACCTCCTGGGTTCAGTCTATTCTCCTGCCTCAGCCTCCCGAGTGGCTGGAATTACAGGCATATGCCACCACACCTGGCTAATTTTTGTGTGTGTGTGTGTTTTTTTTTTGTTTTTTTTTTAGTAGAGACGGGGTTTCACCATGTTGGCCAGGCTGGTCTCAAACCCCTGACCTCAACTGATACACCTGCCTTGGCCTTCCAAAGTGCTGGGATTACAGGCTTGAGCCACTGCGCTCGGCCTGAAGCATTTTATCATGCTCGCTACAAGGTGTTCATAAGTAGTAAATAAAGCCCTTGGGCTAGATAATGTAAGATCCATTGCAACCCGGAGATGAAGAACTTTATAAAGGGGATAATTGTTATCACCCATCAGAGTTTTAAGATGATCTACATGTAGTCCCACTAATTATATTTCTCCTAACTTTTATAGACAGAGAAATCAGTGAAAAATATGTATTTCTAAGGATTAAATCCCAATCCGTAGCTCAAGGCTACCTTTATGTCTAATAGTTGTGATATAATATGTTGCTTAGAGTAGTTCTATAAATGGAATTCACACATAGGACCATAGAATCACTTCTTCACAGGGTTTCAGAGTTGGTGGACATATAAAAGGATAAATCAACCCATAAATCTGTAAGTATTCCTAAAAAAAGAGTGGTGTGTCAGTTATTGGCACCAGTACATGATGAATCCTGCTGGGCTGTGGAGAAAGGAGAAACTGACCTGAACAGCACTATACTCTACACAGCTGTCCCTGACATTCCACACCTGTTAGCATTCAGTATTAATTTCATGGATCAAATCAAGGCATGCAAGTGCATTAAATAACTTTTTAAAAAACAACTGCTGATTGCTGAGGGTCTGTGAGGGAAGAAAAATTAGGGGCTGTTATTTTCCTATCAGCCATTACTCTCATTAACAAGAACAGGAAACATTATGAATAAATAAAACTCTTACATCATACCAGAAAAAACAGCTGAATCCCCTAAAGGATTTCATATTCTATCATCAGACAACTAAAGAAAATAATTCCATATAAATGGCTGCATTAATCATTGAAAGAAACTTCCCTGCTTTTTTAAAAGAGCAACTAGAAATATTTACTTTTTGAAAATAGAGTAACCATTTGTTAAGCCATATATACCATTGAGGATGTTTTGGGTATAAAAGGGAATTTCCATAATAATTACATAGTAATCTTTTATAGCCAAAGTTATGAAGATGATCAGAATATGGGAAAATTGTGGTCAAGATTTGATTAGCCTTATCTAAATTCCCCTAATGAGTGTGTAAAAATGTATATCTAATTTACCTCTTGGGGGAGGTTTAACGTAAATATAAATAAAAATTCTTTCCCCAGGTAAAAAAAAGTTACATAGTTGAATTCTACCTTTTCTCATTTCTCTACATCCAAACCTATCACCAAGTACTGTTAATTTTACTTTATAAAGCTCTCTTGATGTGTCTCTTCAACCTCATCACCACTGCTTTAAATGAGGCATACTTCCTCATTTGGATTATGGCAGCAGTCTCTCTTCCTTTAGTCTCTCCTTCAAATCCACCTCCATCCTTCATATCATCCATCATGTATTTTTCCCTGTCTAAATTCCTTGGTTGGCTTCTATTAAATCCAAGTTCCTTAAGCATGGCAAACAGGGTCCAGCTTCCACGAGCTGGTCCATACTTCTCCTGCCTCATTTCCTGACACTTTCCCTTATACCTTGAGATCCAGCTCGCCAGTAGTTCCCCAATACCTCCACCGCATATACAACCACATATATATACATCCTTATCCCCTCCCTCATGTACCACCCATGTATAATTCTCTCCATCTCATGCTTTATCACATTCCTACAAGCCTTGAAGCAATATGAACATAGATACCATCTTTAATTCGACTCCTAATTGGGGCTGAACATACTTGTCTTGAACAGAGATTGCTGCCTTGTTAGTATAGGTATCCTAATATGGCACATGTATATAGTTGAAGCTATAACGCATTCCCCAAGTTCCACTTCAGGACTAAAGGGTTATTTCCCAGCGGCTGGAAGTCCTGCTGCCAGACAGACTTCTTCTGGAATTACCTTGTCCCCAACTCAAGACAACCCTGAAGGACCTTTCCCAGTTTTCCATGGGGTCCACTGAGGCTTTGAGATTGAACTGAAATTAACTTCCCCCTCTGCTGTAGCTTCCCTTCAACAGGTGTTTATCACAAGAACAATTGCTAATAAACTTCCTGTGAGCACACTCTCAGAGTCAGCTTGCTGGGGAACCCAAGCTGTAACAACATGTTTATCTTGTTGATACTCTCTTATGAGTTCTAAATCATGGGAAGTTATGGTTATCCAAAAATCTTACTAATTGAAGATCATTTCATCAGACATGTATTGAGCACCTGCTCCATGCCAGGCATTGTGCCAGATACAATGGAAACAAATCAAGACTTGGCCCCTGTCGTGGAGTTTACAGTCTGAGGTGACAGTTACATATGGAACTAATTGTACTATAGCATCTTGAGAATCTTTTTGATTTAAACATCAATAATTTTAGTATAACAGTCAAAAGCATGGATTTTGTGGTGTTACAAAACACAAAAAGAAAACATTTCAGGGGAAGGAATACGAATATAAGTAAGTTGAATGAAATTTTAGAAGAGCACAGAGTTTGTCTTTATAATTCTGAAAGCCTTCAGGGAAAAGTTAATTTTTTCACTTTTTGTTTTGAAATAATTTCAAACTTACAGAAAAGTCACATGAATACTGAACTCCCATATACCCTTTATGCAGATATATCAGTTTTTAACGTTTTCCTTCATTCTGTTTCTTTACACGCATACAATTTATTTTTGTGAACTATCTGAGAATAGGTTAAATACTACATTATATCACTTTATACCTTAAAAATGTAGTATTTCCTAGAAACAAGGGTATTTACCTCTGTAACCACAATGCAGTTGTCAGATTCAGGTAATTTGACGTTGATCTTTAATCTAGAGCCCAGATTCAGATTTTATTAATTGTCCCAAAAAAGATGAGTTTAGGAAGAGTCATATAACTTAACATTTGTAATGTAAATTAAAAATTATATGAAAAATCATAGAAGATCTCGGAAGTTTGCTAACCTGATTTAAATACCACAGTGAAATGAACCACTTCTGATTTTCTATGGAGAAAGCAAGGATTAGGTCCAGGTTACCTGTAAAGCTGTGACTTAGGGCTCCCAGAAGTGAACGTTGCTCTGGAGAGCCCATTTGGTGAGGTTCTTTTCAAGAGATTGTATATTTTTGACCCAGGGATTGTCGATTTGTTGAACTCCCATGTAAGTATGCCGCCTTGCCATTAACAGGTCTTCACAATGCTTAAACGACATTCTTTGGAACTGTCTTTCATAGTCAGGCGCCCCGCCAGCCAGGCGGTCAGGTAGGTAGAAGGGCAACCTCAGGAACTAGATCCAGCTGGGCCTCCCCTAACAACGTGGTCTTCGATCCTCTAACCGGCTGGGCCTCGAACCTCATCACACAGAGCTTTGATAGGGCCGGGGACGCAGGTCAGCCTGACGAAGGCGTCAGGAGGAGTTGGGCAGGGGCGCGACTTCCTGCTGCACCACTTCCTTTCCAGCCACGCGAGCTTCTGGGACCCTATGACATAATTTCTGGAATGGTCTGTTTTGTGGCGGCGGCGAGGCCCGAGCACAGCCGCCCAAGGGGGATGCATAACCCAGGTCGTGTCCACCCCAAAGCTGGAGTCCTCTAGAAGCCATGGCTTTTCCGCTGAAGCTAGAGCTGGACATGCAGGGGAAAGTACATTTGTTTCGGGCCTGTATCGCCCAGGAGGCCGAGGATCTCGTGTCCGCCTTCTTTCCTCAGGAGGTCTTGGAGCTGAATAGCCAAGTTCAGGAGCTCCGGCTGCAAGACCTGTCCAGAATCCATTCGGTGCCAACCCCGGAGCCCCTGGCCACCCCAGGCACCGTGGGAGATGGGCCCAACCAAAATCTGCCACCTCTGCAGACTCAGTTCTCCATCGAGGTCCCAGCACTGCTTGGCAGCGGGGGACAGCGCCTGCGGAGCAACCAGCATGTAATGGATCTGATTGATCAGGTAAAACCTGAGACTGAGCTGCTGAAAGAAAAATGCAACACAGTGCGGATATGGGTGCACCTGCTTATCCCGAAGGTGGAGGACGGCAACCACTGCAGGGTGTCTGGATATCCAGAAAGACACTGTGGACCAGCTGTGGACTGTGGAGAGCACAGCGGCCTCCTATCTACGCGGTCTCAACCATTAATAAATAACTGTGTGATCAATTTAAGTGATTTTTAATTTCAGGCCAGATGCGGTGGCTCATACCTGTAATCCCAGCACTTTGGGAGGCCAAGGTGAGCAGATGGACAGATCACTTGAAGTCAGTTCAAGAACAGCCTGGCCAACATGGTGAAACCCTGTCTCAAGCAAAAATTATCAAAGTTAGCTGGGCGTGGTAGTGTGTGCCTGTAGTCCCAGCTGCTTTGGAGGCTGAGGTGGGAGAATTGCTTGAACCCAGGAGGCGGAAGTTGTAGTGAACTGAGATCATGCCACTGCACTCCAGCTTGGCTGACAGAGTGAGAACCTGTCTCAAAAATAAATAAATAAATAAATAAATAAATAAATAAATAAATAAATAAAGCTTTTTAATTTCAAAAGTACTATCTCAATGTTCAGAAATTTGAAAAATATAAAAGGAGAAATCACCTACAGTTTACTAGCCTAACAAAATCGTTACTATTTGTGTGTGTTTTACTTATTTTAAAGGATGCATATATGTTTTTACATTGTTGCAATATAGTATATGCATACTTTCATAGAGGATAAATATTTGCATTTAAATTCAATCTAATATTTTAATTTCATTTGACAGATATCCCCTGATTCAGATAACAGATACATCCATTCCCCCAAATATTCTTAAGGCTCTGTTTCCTAATTGTGAAAATGATATTTGTCTGAGGCAGGAATTGTGATTAGAGTATGGAACATAGAGATCAAGTAGCTGGGAGGAAATGTGCCTATATGACTGTGAGAATGTCTACATATTTAGAATAGGATTTTACTCTGCTTTTAGGTTGGGGCTTCATAATAGCTTTAGCAACATATCTGATCATTTTGTTACTCAGTGCTTTTTCCCTGCCCCTAGAGCATTTAATTACCTCTAAAAATATATACAAGAAAGCATTCATGTCTTATACTGATTAGATGAACTGTTTCAGCTTTTGTGATTTGAGTAGGAGGGAATTCTATTTCCTCTGTCAGCACTTAAACATTTCTGGAAAATGCTGTAGTGCATTGACATCAGGCATTTTTAAAAAATTACTGATCTTTGAGAAAAAGTAAAGGACCCAGTGAGTTACAGAAATAGGTGCTGGACCATACCTGTTCTCTGCATTAGAAAACTGTACTGCTAACACATAGAAATATCTGCTCACCTTGAACTGAAATTATCCATGGGAAGCCGAATACATCCATCTGTCAATTGATCGATAGATAGATGTATTTGTCTCATTCTGTCACCCAGGCTGGAGTGCAGTGGTGCAATCTCGGCTCACTGCAACCTCTACCTCCCAGTTTTAAGTGATTCTCCCACCTCAGCCTGCCGCGTAGCTGGGACTACAGGTGTGTGCCACCACACTCAGCTAACTTTTGTAATTTTGATAGAAACAGGTTTCATCACATTGGCCAGGCTGGTCTTGAACTCCTGACCTCAAGTGATCTGCCCGCCTCAGCCTCCCAAAGTGCTGAAATTACAGGCGTGAGCCACCGTGCCCAGCCTCCATATTGGATGATTATACATTTGTATATGTTTTTCTTTGCTTGCTTTATTTTGATGAGTCTTTTTTTTTTTTTTTTTTTTTTTAACTCTTTAGTTGTTTGTTTTTTTTAATTTAAAAATTTTTTTTTATTATTATACTTTAAGTTTTAGGGTACATGTGCATAACGTGCAGGTTTGTTACATATGTATACTTGTGCCATGTTGGTGTGCTGCACCCATCAACTCATCATTTACATCAGGTATAACTCCCAGTGCAATCCCTCCCCCCTCCCCCCTCCCCATGATAGGCCCCGGTGTGTGATGTTCCCCTTCCCAAGTCCAAGTGATCTCATTGTTCAGTTCCCACCTATGAGTGAGAACATGCGGTGTTTGGTTTTCTGTTCTTGTGATAGTTTGCTAAGAATGATGGTTTCCAGCTGCATCCATGTCCCTACAAAGGACACAAACTCATCCTTTTTTATGGCTGCATAGTATTCTATGGTGTATATGTGCCACATTTTCTTAATCCAGTCTGCCACTGATGGACATTTGGGTTGATTCCAAGTCTTTGCTATTGTGAATAGTGCGGCAATAAACATACGTGTGCATGTGTCTTTATAGCAGCATGATTTATAATCCTTTGGGTATATCCCCAGTAATGGGATGGCTGGGTCATATGATGCATCTAGTTCTAGATCCTTGAGGAATCGCCATACTGTTTTCCATAATGGTTGAACTAGTTTACAATCCTACCAACAGTGTAAAAGTGTTCCTATTCCTCCACATCCTCTCCAGCACCTGTTGTTTCCTGACTTTTTAATGATTGCCATTCTAACTGGTGTGAGATGGTATCTCATTGTGGTTTTGATTTGCATTTCTCTGATGGCCAGGGATGATGAGCATTTTTTCATGTGTCTGTTGGCTGTATGAATGTCTTCTTTTGAGAAATGTCTGTTCATATCCTTTGCCCACTTTTTGATGGGGTTGTTTGTGTTTTTCTTGTAAATTTGTTTGAGTTCTTTGTAGGTTCTGGATATTAGCCCTTTGTCAGATGAGCAGATTGCAAAAATTTTCTCCCATTCTGTAGGTTGCCTGTTCACTCTGATGGTAGTTTCTTTTGCTGTGCAGAAGCTCTTTAGTTTAATGAGATCCCATTTGTCAATTTTGGCTTTTGCTGCTGTTGCTTTTGGTGTTTTAGACATGAAGTCTTTGCCCATGCCTATGGGTACTACCTGAATGGTACTACCTGGGTTTTCTTCTAGGGTTTTTATGGTATTAGGTCTAACATTTAAGTCTCTAATCCATCTTGAATTAATTTTCATATAAGGAGTAAGGAAAGGATCCAGTTTCAGCTTTCTACTTATGGCTAGCCAATTTTCCCAGCACCATTTATTAAATAGGGAATCCTTTCCCCATTTATTGTTTTTGTCAGGTTTGTCAAAGATCAGATGGCTGTAGATGTGTGGTATTATTTCTGAGGACTCTGTTCTGTTCCATTGGTCTATATCTCTGTTTTGGTACCAGTACCATGCTGTTTTGGTTACTGTAGCCTTGTAGTCTTCAAGTCAGTAGCAGAATTTTATTAGTGAAGTTTAGTAATCCCAGTTACTGAAATTTAAAATGTTTCACTAGTAAACTGAATTTAACGAATTCTCTTTGATAGACAATGTTGTGTTATTTTTACTTATTGGTGAAAACCTAGCTGGTGCAGATGAACAGGAATTGAACCTATTATCAGTAAAATTAGATTCCTTTTACAATTTGGCCATTTCTTTTAGCTTTACTATTTAATCTCATTTTTACAAGGTTTTGCGATATTATATTGGAAAATTGCTTTGAAAGTGTGAAGTATTTAGAATTTCTTGAATAAATATATAGTTTCCACTTTAGATGTTTGAGATTTAGAGGTGTACTTTTAGCTCCTTATTTTATAGATGAAGAAATTTAGACCCAGAGAGTTATATGCAGCACACAACTCATTTGTGACAAAGCAAGGTCTAGAAGTCAAATCATCTTCCATTTCAGGCTAGTGCACTTTTCACTGCACTTTACTGTGTTCTAATCAGTAAATAAAATTACATTAGAAGAGAGTTCTTTCAGAAATATGCAAACCAGTAAAATTTCAACAAATTAACATCCCTTTCAGTTGTGTGTTGTTTTTTTCTGCAAAATGTAAGAGAAGTTGAAGTGTTTCCAACTCAGAATGGACTATAATATTTTTACTTAATTAAATATTATGTAAAGAGCCAGGCACGGTGGCTCATGCCTGTAATCCTAGCACTTTGGGAGGCTGAGGCGGGTGGATTGCCTGAGCTCAGGAGTTCAAGATCAGCCTGGGCAACACGGTGAAACCCCGTCTCTACTACAATACAAAAAATTAGCCGGCCGTGGTGGCATGTACCTGTAGTCCCAGCTACTCGCAGGCTGAGGTGGGGGCGGGTGGATCACTTGAGCCTGGGGAAACAGAGGTTTCAGTGAACCAAGGCGCCATTGCACTCCAGCCTGGGAAACAGAGGGAGACCCTGTCTCAAAAAATAAAATAAATAAAAGTATCCTACTGGCCAACTCCTCCCCCACCTTCTAACCTTCAGCACTGAAGAACTGCTAAGTGGATATGTCATGGCTACTGCTCCTAAAAAACCTACAGAATAAAAGGGGGAAAGGAGAAGAGCTGTAGTTTTATGTTAGGGAGGAAGCCTGAAAGGGTCATTTCCCAAAAGAAGTTTATCTTTTAGAGCTGGACTGGTCAGTACAGTAGCCACTAGTGTTGAAATGTAACTAGTCCTAACTGAGATGTGGTGTAAGTGTAAAATGCACACTAGATTTTGAAGACTTAGGGTGAAGAAAAAGTAAAATATTTCAATAACATTTATGTTGCTTACATGTTGAGTGTTAATAGTTTGGATACATTAAATAAAGTAGATTATTAAAATTAAATTTACATGTTTCCTTTTAGTTTTTTATTTTGTGTGCCCGAAATTTTAAAGTTACATGTGTGGCTTGCTTATATATCTCACAGTATATTTCTATTAAACAACGCTGCTCTGGAACTAAGATTTCTGAGGTAACTGAGATGATACTTAGAGTTGAGCCAAAACCTGCTATTGTGGTATATTTTGGAGATGTGGGTTTCCATTAAGTATAGATTTTTTTGACTCCTAGTAAATTTTTATTGATTTGTCATCTGGTTCATAATGTTCAATTCAGTAAAAGCCATTCAGAGAGAGGCTAAACATTGCAAGCCAAACCTTCTTACAGTGCAACTTGGTCTTGGAACTTAGAATGCTTACAGGAATGGATGGCTAGCATGTGCTTTACGTATGCCTTCTAAATATCATGTCCAGGCTTTTGGTGAGAGACTAGAGTACTAATATTCTGTATTGCTAATTCAAGGCTGCTCCATATGTTTTATAAACCGAATAGAGGTAGATTTAACATGAATATTGAGACATTTACCCAGTGTTTTTATCTGGATGAAAGAATAATGTACCTCTGGGTGCCTTGAGAGTACCTATAGGCAGTTAGGCTTTTTCTCAAGGAGCAATATTTGAACACTCAACTAAATCCCCATGA